TAAACGTAACCAAACTACTAGACACAACTAGGACGACACGTAGTAGTACAGAGTAGAATAGAAGGTAAGTACCCACTATAATATATAGTAGTATATATATATATATATATATATATATACATATAGCATGAGGAAGTTCATGGGAGGGAGGTCTCATAGATTAATTTGCTCTAATCCTGCCTAAAAGAATTTCAAATGGCGCGGCTATTGAGGATTCCCTATCGTCTTTAGTAAGAGAGAGAAAAATTGAAAATTTGTTAACCATTAAATAATCGTACATTGAAACTGGCGGGATCTTAACTTAACAATTCGAAAGGTTTTTTTGGACTACTTGTTAGGCTAAAAAAACGAATAATAATATACTACTGCTCGATTTCCTCCACAGAAAATTCATTATTTCATCAAAATTGTTCTTTAATCGAAACATTGATATTGAACAAATTTCTATTTACCAAAAGAATGTTTCGCTTTTACGTTAAACATATGTAACTGTTGAAATTTCCTATCTCAGAAATAATATATTTGTCAAGCAACTACAAACTAGTAAAAATTATCAACATATAAATGCCATAAAAAAAACTGTAGAAAAGAGAAAACTTGATCAAAGTTTCGGCTAATCGTTTCAATGTTTGTTTGTTTGTAATTAAGCACAAAGCTACACAATGGGCTATCTGTGCTCTGCCCACCACGGGTATCGAAACCCGGATTCTAGCATTGCAAGTTCGCAGACATGCCGCTGTGCCACTGGGGCGGAGGAGCTCGTTTCAATGAATATATTTTGCGTGGAAACTAAATTAATATATACATATATAAGTTTTGCGTGATGTTTGTGTTTTCAGATTTTGAATAAAAATTAAGTATTTGAGAGGTAGTTATCAAAATAGGCATATTTCGTCTTACGATAAACGGTTTTGAAAATATATAAAACCCTAAACATTAAAGTACGGTTTAGATATGTTTTTATTATTATTATTATTAAACTTATCGACGTTTCGGTATTCTTACTTTCATTGGTTCTTTTGGTGCTTTATTCAGTATTTTGTTGTAAAGAAGTAGTTTCAAATGATAATATAATACTTTGACTTTTTAATATAATTACAAGTTTGAAAATGATGATATCAGTGACTTAGCAGATAAACAGATTATTTAATTCTGTCTTACCTAAGATTCCTAGTCGAAAGTTTAAGGTTACAACAATAACTTCTGCATAACTAGCAAGCACGCTGCCATCATAGATGCTCCCAGAATTCCATTCATAGGACTCCCCATGAATTATCACGATCACTGGAAATCGAGACGTTTCCCTGCCTGTGAGAAAGCCAACAATAACTCAGTGAGCAAAGAAGAAGATATAAGATTAATAGTTTCATTTTGAATTTAGGTACTGTTAAATATATTTTATTACAAGTTACGGCTTTTACAGTAAGCAAGATTTGTTTTTAGAACAGGATCGACGTTTCGATCACTGGTGTATTTGTGAATGTTCGCACCAGTGATCAAAATGTCTCATTTGTTCTAAAAACAAATCTTACTTACTGTAAAAGCTGTAACTTGTAATAAAAGATACAAGTTTACTCAGCAAAATACAAATTAACAACACACTCATTAGACAAGTAACAGTACTGAACAAGTGGATTACAATACTTACTAAACAATACTATATCAGCAGGATAAACAATACTATATCAGCAGGATAAACAATACTATATCAGCAGGATAAACAATACTATATCAAAAGTGGAAAGACGTTCACTGAACAAGTGGATTACAATACTTACTAAACAATACTATATCAGCAGGATAAACAATACTATATCAGCAGGATAAACAATACTATATCAGTAGGATAAACAATACTCAATCAAAAGTGGAAAGACGTTCACTGAACAAGTTATTACAATTAATACTATCGTTTTGAGTTTACTTACTGGTTATAAGTATTATTTGTTACAGCTTTTACAGTAAGAAAAACAAATGGTCAGTAAACTCACGGTTAATAAGTAATAAAATAACCATTAAAAAGCAGAAAAGTGATCAATGAACAAGTGAAAGTAATATTTAGGAAAAAGCGACAACAATACTTTGTAAACAAGCAGACCATCAAGTGACAAAAACAATCAATCGAAAGGTGAAATGAACAATCCTTGAAAATGGGTCTCAATGCAAAAACGATCACAGCATTGAGTGAAAAAAATCCTCAGTGTAAAAGGGATTATAACACTGGGTAAAAAGTAGTAACGAGGTTTACATTTCTGGATTTATCAAGGTGGTCTAGGACATTTTATTATAAACGTCAACTTCTCTTTTATTGTGTGACTATTAAATTTGTGCTTCATTGCGAATAATAAACATCACATCACAAGCAAAATGTTCACATGAATGTGATTTTGTAATTACTTGACAGTGATTGTGTCATTAAAATAAAATGGTTTATATTTCCATTATTACCATTTTCCTGCAGGAATAAAAACAAAAAAAAAGGAACGCTGTATTTTCTTCTTGCTAGGTTTCTGCAAGCAGCGAGCACGAACATTGTAACCGAGAAACCCTAAAGGAGACATTCTTTTAATCAATGAAGCTGTGTTTTATTATTTTTATAATCAGCACTTAACGCACATTTTAAACATGTTTATTGATCTTTCTGAGTTTTTTCATGTTATCTTGACATAATATATTGCCAGTTGATCAGTTTTTTTTATTAAACAATTACGTTTAGTAAGGATCACAATGAATAAGTACTACTGTTTCTTACCTTAATTAATCATTCAACAACATCTTCACATTCCTGATAAACGACATGTTTTACTTTGTTTGGGTTTCTCGTTCCGGAATAATTTATTTATTTTTTGTCATTTTATAAAATCTTTCACATCATTCTTTATGTATCACAATTGCTAGCTGAAGGTAAAAATAGACAATTTTTTTTGTTTTTAATTATGCACAAAGCTACACAAGGGCTATCTGTGCTCTGCCCGCCACGGGTATCGAAACCCGGATTCTAGCGTTGTAAGTCCGCAGACATACCGCTGTGTCCATCTGGGGGGCAAAAATAGACAAAGTACAATGTTTTTACTTTCAAATTATTTAAATTCTCACAAAGACATGTTTCTATATTATATTTGTTATAAATATCGATTTTTTTTTTAAAATACAGTTAAAAGCAAACGAAATCTTTAAGCTCCTAAACCTTTGAAAACGAAATATATATATCGGAGGATTTAACATCGATAAAGTTCTTTCTGAGAGCCCTCTTTCGTACATTAAACTATCTATAATTACACAATTTGTCAGAAACACAGACCGGCCATGTTAGAAATGGAGCCCTAGGAACTAATCAATGAAGCAACACATTCTTATCTCTTAAACGCCTCGACCGCCACGTGCCTACCCAAGCTTGTTGATTGATTATTTTCCTTGCTTTATACTTATGTGGAAGAAATACATAAATACATTCTAGGAAATACTTCAAAATAAAATGGCAAAGGTATTGAGAAGTATCAGGATTCACAATTCAGTGACTTGAGATCAAGTTCTTCGCATCGTCACAAGACGCGGATCGAAATTCAATTTTTACTGATTGCCAGACGTGAAATCCATTCTCAGGTAGATAAACTGTCTTATTTACATGCAAAAATTTACATACTTACACTACACCACAAGTCCTTTTATATAATAAACTATAAGAAGTTTATTTGGATTTAAAATTTGCTCACTGTTTATTTTATTTAAAAGAAACACCGGCTTTTAAATAGGGTGCATATATATTAATATATTTTAAAATTAATCCAAGCTTTCGTGAACATAGTTTTAACAGAAGACACAGAATTTAATTGAAAGACAATAAAATTAATTGTTTTATTCGTGGTACCCTCAACGGAAGCTACTTTAATTTGATGATCTCCGTGATAGCATTTTAATAGACGATTTGGTCTCGTTTTATATTTTTTACTGTTTGTGAAGATACCACATATGATAAACATTAAATGTTCAGCAATGTAATTGAAGATGTTGGCGTGTATTGATATAGTGGTATTCTGAAAGTGTATATATATATGCTTGAATCTAATGCTAAAATCCTGGAAGAAATGCTTTTCTGAGTGAGTATTCAAGTAGCCTCTTGTTGTTTTTTAATGTGTAATATTTAAAGTCTGATTTTCATCTTCAGTTGTTAGAATTGCGTGTTTGAACAACAACTACTTTAAAATATTAGTTTTTATATGATAAAAAAACATAAAAAAGAACTTCCCACGTGAATATAATTACATCATACGTTATGTACATTAGTTTGTTTCTTTAAAATTAAGCACAAAGCTACACAATGGGCTATCTGTGCTCTGCCCATCACGGGTATCGATAACCGGTTTCAAGCTTTGTAAGACATACCGCTGGGGGGGGGAGCATGTACATTAGAGAAAAAAGGCGGTGATGGAGGAAAGTACAGGAGTAGATGTTTGAGTTGAATATTTTCATTAAGATATAGGCATCATTTACCTCAGGAAACTACATACTCTGTCTCGAATATTTACTCACTAGATTTAATAATAATGTAAAACAGTGAGTTACAAAATGGCCAAATTATACTTACGACGCGTGGGGGAGTAAATGTTCAGGTATAAGCAGTCTTCGCTCTGATTACGAAGAAAAGGAAGAAGCCGTCGAAGATAAGCCAGGCGTCCGGGTGTCATTCTTTTCAGGGCTTCTGTAGTATTCCGGATATCTGGATATCTCTGTGGACAGGAAGGACCAAATCGATCAGCAGTTCGCACTCCTCTCCAAGAAGATGGGTTGATGGGTGGCATGAAGCGGAGCGACCCTGATGGAGCACTAGCGTAAGGAATGCCTAGGAACACCTCGACGGGGCTTAACTGTTCGTTCGAAAATGTCTTTGTGAATCCCCGTACGGATCCGAACTTAGTTCTTACCACGCGAGAATAATGACTGCCTATAACAGCAGAAGGACGAGGACGTATTAAAGTAGCGAAAACGGCCAAGGTAAAGATAGTTAGCTCAAATATTGCTGTCATACTTGAGTTATTCAGATAAGTTGATGTCAATAAACGAAGAGAATCCACAAATCTATTAATGTAGAACAGAAGATTCCTGCTCTTAGCAACACATCGCTGGATCTATAAAGAAAAACAGTGCATCAGAACATCACATTCATTCAATATTCAACAGTTAACCCGAGCTTTTATAACCCGGTAATTATAATCAACCACAAATACTCTCACACCTATAATAAGTATCACATCAACCCATACATTTCTTTACCACTAAGTGTACTAATTATAATACATAATACCGACTGTATGTTAATATAAGTTTTTGTTTTTGCAACTAACTGAAACTGATACACGTTCTTCTTTCTCATTCAAAAGTACCTACATTAAGCAGGTATTTGTGAGAAGTAAATAAACTATCGTTAATATATTACATACGTAATTTCCCGGCTTCGCGCAATTCTAACTTATAAAATATCTTTCTAATAAGAAGAAAAATCTGAATTTGTGTATACAAGATATTTTTGACATGTTTGACTGCATTTCGAAAGTCCTCAGACAAAATACAACTTTTTGAACCTTGACAGAGCTGATTTGAATTCATTATATATATTTCAGGTAATGCACTTTTAGGAAAAGTTGCGAAGTTTTTAAGAGATTAAGCATCTAATTTAACATTTTTATACAATTCTACGCTTCAAAGTGTTGTCAAAGTTTATACGTTTCATGCAGCTCAATTCTTAGGACGCGTAACGTTATTAAAACAACATTTTTGTATTTTCCATCTTTGCTTAGAAAACGTGAACATTTTACGGCTCATTCAAGAAGCTGTTGCTTTTTTTGAAAGATGAGAAAGTTTTTGTTTAACAAAGTCTTTCACAATAAACATAACCTGAGATTCTAGATAAACAAGAAAAGGACAACAATAACTTTGATATACATGGATAATGTTTTTTATATTTAAACTTAACAATTTTTCTATCCATTCACTTGCACTTCAACAAGAAATGATTATACTTACTTAGACTGAGATTAAACAGAACCCAGGCGTTGTCGGAAGCACCTTAATAGTTTTGTTTTCAGTGTGCTTAGGGCATAAGAGTACAACGTCAAAGTGCAACAACGTGCACACCCTTAGACCTAAAATAGCCCTTTCTTATTTCTCCAAGCATATTCCATTTGTACTGCGAGCGCGCCACAACCACACCAGTGGAACCTTGTCGTGATAGCGGATTGCGCGCCTCACACTGTTACTTCGCATGCGTAGAAGATGATGTCAATGTATACTGCGTCAGACAAAAGAGAGATGAGTAGGAACCCGTTGCTATTGGAAACGAAAAGGACCTTTCATGTTCAGTGCGCAATACATGGAGGTTATATCTGTGACTGAGTTAACCGCAGCCTGTTAATATACCTTACTAAGTGAACGTTGACAGAATCTCACGTATTTTTGTGTAGGTAAAACTTAACCCGCTATCGTTAGTAGGTGCATATTTACTTTGTTACATGTGCAAAATAAACAAACTGTCGTGTTTTGGAGCTCCATAAGTCAAACATTGACAGTATTCTTGTTAAGTCCTTTGTTTTTGTTATGGAATTTAAATCTCAGGAATGTGACATTATATGAAACATTTTAATTAAATCTCGAAAGTTGTTTCTGTTTGTATATTCGTTTTTATTTATTTTTGTCATATTAAAGTGATAATTTGTACGTGTAATACATAACACACAATATCTGTTGAATGCAAAGAACAATCTGCCTATGTAAGCAGTAACGTTTTTGAAAACGTAACACATTCAGTAGTAACAACAAGTATACATTTTGCCAGTCTGTATCTGAAACTATTCAAATAATTACGCTTTATAGAAACCAAACAATACAAGTTGAATTTAAGGACCACTTATATCTGTAACTGTACAACCAGTTGCGTTTTGAAAAAATAATAATGTAAGTTAAATGTTTAGAAAAATCTCATAAAATAAAATCTTATGTTTGATGCTATTCAAAGAACAAAGTTTTCGAAAAATAGATATAATTTAGGTTTAAAGAAAGTGTTTTTCATGTGCATGATTAGGTAACAAAAACATATACCTGATTATTAAAACCTGAAGATCTAAGAATTGGAGATCATTTAAGTGTGTTTAATCTTGAGGAACACCCTTCTTAGAGAAGTTCCTTTCTTTATTTTCACTTGGGACATAACATTCAAAAAGTAACATAAAACATAAGTTGGATATAACAGCTTTGGTATTTCTTAAACGCAGTGTTGTATAATTTGGTTTGGTTTGTCCGAAATCAAACACAAAGCTACACAACAGGCTATCTGTGCTCTGCCCACCACGAATATCGAAACCCGGATATTATACAAATGTCAAGATTTATTTGCGATTTATTAGGAATAGTTGGTTTAAGCGTTAAGAACATAACGTGCTAAGACCAACAGGACTACACATTTGCATTACATTACTATTCTTCAGTTTCTTTTATCGAGACTTCTAACTTGGTAGATGAGGTAGTAAGAAAAAATTTAATATCACAGCGTTTTAGAAAGCTGATCGCGTTACAGATAAAGCAAAATAAAATGTTTAGTTAAAAACTTTAGGAGCGTTGGAAGTGAATGAGGTTAATGACATAGGACTAATGTACACAAATAAACTATACTGGGGTTTGTATCCACTGGGAAAATGCGAGATGCCATCAGTTGCACCCAAGGATCAACAGACTATGTTTAGTTGTTCATATTCAAATAATGACAGATATTTGCATGTTTGGTCGTATCACATTATTTTTACTCTGTAGAAGGAAATATAAAACGTTTCGTAGTCAGTCTATTGTGATTTAAGTAGGTTTGGGCAAATTCAAACAGGTAAACGTGACTCGTTTGAACTTATATAAAGTTCGAGCCTCTTTCAAGTTGAATCAGTTTAAATCAGGTTACTTTTACTGTCAAGTTTTTATGTATGGGCCGGATTCTTTACAGTTGGTGTCTGTGACCTGATGGTGATAAATTTCAACAATAAACAAACAGCACACAGTCCACTTGTTTTAAAATAATATATGGAAACAAGTCAGACATATATACAAATGTTCGTTACACTGTTGGTTATCAAAGTTATATCCAGAGCTTTAAATAATTGTCTTTTTCTTCGTCAGAGTCCACACAGGCTGGTTCAGTTACCTTAGAACACAATTTGACTTCTTCCAGCTCTGTTATTGCAATACAGTCTGTGATAATTTCATTTTAAAATCACCACTATACGCTCTTTATAGCTAAACTCACAATAACGCAGTCTAGATTTATCTTTCGAACTAAATTTTCGACGCGCATTTATAACTCGCCAGAGGTCTAGAACGTTCCACACACTAATAGATATTATGATGCAATAATATTCAATTATAAAAACAAGAAAGAAGGTTGTAGAACATGACGTAATAAGATAAAATCGCAAATTCACAGCATTTGAACTACACAACGTATGATTCGTAAACAGATACGTAAAAATACTTACGATAAACTATCGCTTCTAAAAAACTAAATTTAACACTCGCACTACATAACTATCTAAATCATAACAGTCGCATTAAACTTAAAGTGAAACAGTCGTATATATCTAAAAGTTACGTTTATGAAATTATATCAGTTCAGGGTAATCTGATCAAATAAATATAAATAATATGGGCTCATTTAAGATTGAATAAGTTTGAACAACTTAAATATTAACACTCTGAATATATTTGAATTTGCTTCAGCTTACAATAGGTAAAGGTTGATTTTCTGAACCTACTTTTATCAGTTTAAACCAAGTAAAAATTAGACTTCTCGGCCAATTTAGCATGATTCAATTTACACAAGCTACATGTTGACACACTAAGATTACTTCGAACCAGTTTGAAATAAGTAAATATAAACCTATTGAGTTTGTCCGAGCTCAAAACATTTTAAGTCAGTCACGTGTATACATTTTGAGTCTACTTGAGCTTTAGAGAGTTTAAATCAGGTAAACCTTAGCTTTTTAAGCCCATGTAAGCTTGAGCTTGAGTCTTAAATCAGCCAAATGTTGGCTTTTTAGAAGGTTTATTATTTATTGATTAATAGAAAAGACTCAAAATTAAAATATGTTTAGAAAGTTTGAATTCATTTTTATTATATTGCTTCTAGCTCAAGTAAAATGAGAATGTTTATAGTCGAATAAGGCCTATACATTTACTTGAGTTCAATTGATGAGGCTTTTCAAGCTTGAGTTAGTTTAAACCAGGTACATAATGCTTAACATTTACTTAATTTAAACACAAGTAGGCTTAAAAAGCCAACATTTACCTGATAAAGACAAATTCAAACAGGCTCAGAATATTTACATTTCCTTGTTTTAATCTGTTTGAAGCTCGGTTGGTTCGGGTTTGCTTGACCTCATGGCAGTTTAAAATAAGTAAAGTTATATTCCTTCTGAGCCTACTTGATCCAGTGTCATATTAAACCACATGTACCGAAACGATGAATATATTTAAGCTTGAGTCAGTTTAAACTAGAGAAACAAAACTTCTGTGTTTACTTAAATTTAAGTCTTTTAAGGCGAATTACATTTTGCGTTTTGTCTTAAAAATTAAAGCTTTGTGGGTAAAGATTAAAGTTACGTAAAGCTATAATTATACCGTATTTATATGTATATTGTCTGCATTATAACCTTCATAAGTGGAAAACTTAAACTTACAATTCGAAACTACCGGGACAGGATTTTTAGAATTGTAACGAATTTGTTATTATATATTTATCTTAATATCAA